ATAAAATAGAGTTAGGCACTAGTGGAGTTTGTAATCCCAGTAATAAGGAGGCCAACACAGGAGGATCTGTGAGACTCACTGCTGGTGAGATCCAGGCCAATGAGAGAACTTGTCTTAGGAAATGACATCTCAGGTTGTCCTCTGATGTCCACTTACAAATGCACACTGGGGTACACACTCTCATGTACACACACACACACACACACACACACACACACACACACACACACACACACACACTATTTCCTTTTTTCCCCAATGGGAACTCTTCACAGTGGCTTTATAGTTACTTAGCTCTCTGGCTTTTGAGCAATTTGCTCAATTAAAGCTCTTTGTGGGCTGAGTAAATTACAGCCTCCTCTGCTTCCCTTGAGATACAGTCTAGCCTTGTGATTTCATCATCTGGTGGAAACCGGGAGACGGCAGCAAATGCACGCCCTGCTGGGTCCTGGCAGCCTTGCCAAGGGGGAAAGCTGCTGCTGAGGGGGGGGAGAGGGCCAGGCTCTGTGGTCACAGGTCTGGAGTGAAGCCCCACAGTGTTTTCACCTTGAATAAGCAGCCATTCTTGGTTGTGGTGAGGACTTCTTTGAAAGCTGGTATTTAAAGGGTATTTCACAGTGCCTGGCACCTGCGAGATGCTCAGTAATGGCGGCCACTCTGTCATTATTGTCCTACTCCTTGTTTACTTAGGTAACCCGAAATTTCCACAGTCTGCAGTTTGAACCAGTGGAATTGTGATTATGCTGATTTCTTAAATGAAGAGCCGCATCTGTCATGGGATCCCAATTTTGTGATCTCATTTAACTCCTTTAGTGCATGTAGAAATGAGTCCAACATGTAGGCTCCACCTGAACAAAAGGCACAGCACACACGCGGAGGTCAGATGACGGAGTTGGTGATCTCCTTCAGCCATGTGGGCCCTGGGAATCAGCCTCGGGTCCTCAGGCTTGGTGGCTCTGCTTTTACCCTAGAAGCATTTCAGTACTTTTACCCTAGAATCATTTCAGTGATCTGAGGGCTGATTTCTAAATGCATCTTAATGCAGAAAAAAAAAAAAAGCTCATCGGCCAGGCAGTGATGGTGCATGCCTTTAATCCCAGCGCTCAGGGATGCAGAGGCAGGTGGATCTCTGTGAGTTCAAGGCAGCCTAGTATACAAAGCAAATGCCAGGCCAAGGCTGCTAGTTAGATCCTATCCAAAAAAAAAAGCTAATTGCATCATTTAAAAAATTCAATCATTTTGAATTATTTTGAAGTTAAACGTTTATTTTCTGGTGAGATGAATCAGGCAAGAAAAGACTCATCTGTATAGTAAAAAGATATTTATTTCCAAGTCAGTTGTTTAATAATGAAGTAGGACTTTCCTAGATGAGTCAATTTCGTGATCTAACAGCCACAGTTTAAATTGAACAGAACTAAGAGTTGCAGTACATGCTATACTATCACTGTATAGAATAATGAATTATCCCACCTTATGTTAACAATGACATTGTGAACTAGGAAAGACAAGATATTATTTCAGTTGTCAAGAGAAGGGAAGCTTGCTTGCTTTCAGGTGTGTTATTTCCCTACCACTGTATGTTGAGAAAGCACTGTAAAAAACTGTCCTGGTAATAGCCAGGGGTTGCAGTGCACTCAGACCTCTGGAGGCTATGGCAGAATGCTCTGGAGTTCCAGGACAGTGAACTGCAAAATGACACTGTTTAGGGGTGTGGGTGGGTCCTGGCTTGCATGTGTGAATACCAGGCCAGAGTGTTGTTAAGGTGGGAGAGGTGGAAGTTTGGAATAGTAGAAACCTTAAGTATGCGCTGATGAGAGAGGTTTTCTATGAGTGCATTGTGTGTGTGTGTGTGTGTGTGTGTGTGTGTGTGTGTGTGTGGGGTCAGAGGTGAACATTAGGTGTTTATCATTGTGCACCTTAGTTTTCGAGTCATGGTCTCTTGTTGATCCTGGAGGTCATCAATTCAACAAGACCAGCCAGCCAACAAGCCTCATTGATCTCATCTGTCTGCCACCCCAGTGCTAGGATTACAGATGTGTATTACCACACCTGGCCTTCTATGCAGATTCTAGGCATCCAAACTCCGATTCTCAGGCTCTTTTTTGTTGTTGTTGTTTGTTTTTTGTTTTTTGTTTTTTTTTTTTTTGAGACAAGGTTTCTCTGTGGCTTTGGAGCCTGTCCTGGAACTAGTTCTTGTAGACCAGGCTGGTCTCGAACTCACAGAAATCTGCCTGCCTCTGCCTCCCAAGTGCTGGGATTACAGGCAAACGCCACCACTGCCCAGCAGTTCTCAGGCTCTTATGATGAGCACTTTACTGACTGAGCCATTTTCCCTAGCCCTCATGATAGAGACTTTTTTGTTTGTTTTTTGGTTTCTCTGTGTAACAGCTTTGGCTGTCCTAGAGCTAGCTCTGTAGACCTCGAGGCTGGCCTCAAACTCACAGAGATTGGCCAGCCTTTGCCTCCCAAGTCTGGGATTAAAGGCATGTGTCACCACCACCTGGCTGTTTTGTTTTTTTAAGATAGGATTTCTCTGTGTAGCTCTGCAGATCAGGCTGGCCTCAAACTGAGAGATCTGCCTGCCTCTGTCTCCTGAGTGGGATTAAAGGAGTTCGACACCATGCCCTGCTGCAGAGTTTTGTTTTCGTTCATCCTCCCTCCCTCCCTCCCTCCCTCCCTCCCTCCCTCCCTCCCTCCCTCCCTCCCTCCCTCCCTCCCTCCCTCCCTCCCTTCCTTCCTTCCTTTCTTTCTTTTTGCTGTGCTGCAGATAGAATCCAGGGCCTTATTCAGTCTAGGCAAGTATTCTACCACTGAGCTATATCCCTAACCTAAAATAGAGTTTTAAAAAAGCAGTAAGTGCCTCAATATGTCACCTATCTGGATTTATCACCTTGTTAATAAAATGCTTATTATACCCATTTCACTTGTAACGTGGGTAAGGAATAAAAATGTGGATGTGAGAAACAGGCGAGATCCTCATTAGCCTGTCTATGTGGGCTGTGAATTAGCTGTAAAGACTTCAAACCAGTATCAATTAGCTTCTTAGTCCTGAGTCAGAATAATGTTCAGTCTCTGAACAAGACTGTCTCCTCCCCAGCCCCCACAGAAGTTAAATTAAAGTGAACTTAGTGAGGAAACAGCTTACTACTTCAACTGTGCCTTTGTCTATACTGTCTAGGATTTTATCTTCCTGGTTGGATTTGTTATATTTGAGGCATAGTTACCTGCAGCTTTTCAGGCTGCAGAAGACCTGCTTGCAAGTTTTGTACTTAACTAGTGTTAACTACTTTAACTAAGGAGTTTGAGACAAGCCCTGCATGTTGCATCCTTGCAGAGGCTTACCCACACCACTGGCAGCATCAGTTTCCCTGCAAGTTGTCTATAAGTGATGCTGCTGTTCAGGACGGAGCATGAGGGAAAGTACTGAGAGCTTTGTAGATGTATCTATAGTGACTAACAGGCTGGCCAGGTCTTGGTCAGCGAGTCATTTGCAGCCACTTTTCAGTCTTCAAATTACTTCAGAGTTCACTTCAGGTATCCTCATAGGTGTCTGGTACTGATTTGCCTGTTCCCATGTAGTCAGGGGAAGCTGGAAAGTAAATCCCCAGAAAGCAACCTGGTTGGTAAAGAGAGTTCACCCCTACCTGCTCCAGGAGTCTAAGACATAAATAAAGACCCACAGTTAGAGTCCGGTGAGTAGCAGACTTTGAAGGAAGATGTAAACATTCTTGTTATTGCTTAGCAACAAAATAGGTTTTATTTTAATTGTGTGTGAGTGTGTGTGTGAGTGTGTGTGAGTGTGAGTGAGTGTGTGTGTGAGTGTGTGTGTGTGTGTGTGTGTGTGTGAGTGTGTCTCCGTGCACATGCTCAGGTCAGAAGACAGCTTGCAAGATCTGGTTCTGCCCTACTGGTGGGGGCTCCGGGGATTGAACTCAGGTAGGTTTGGTGTCAAATGCCTTCACCTGCTGAGCTTTAGCAACAGTTCAAGCTTGCTTCTCTTCTCTCTCTCTCTCTCTCTCTCTCCCTCTCCCTCCCTCCCTCTCTCTCTCTCTCTCTCTCTCTCTCTCTCTCTCTCTCTCTCTCTCTCTCTCTCTCTCTCCCTCTCCCTCCCTCCCTCTCTCCCTCTCCCTCCCTCCCCCTCTCCCTCCCTCCCTCCCTCCCCCTCTCCCTCCCTCCCTCCCCCTCCCTCTCTCTCCCTCTCTCTCCCTCTCTCTCCCTCTCTCTCCCTCTCTCTCCCTCTCTCCCCCCTCTCTCTCTGAGCTTTGGCCTTTGGAAGTGTGTAAAGATATTCATTCACATCATTAAGATGGCTGAGAATTTTGAGCTCTCTTCTTTGTCCCATAGTTATCATCAGAAGCCTCAAATGCAGTCAGCCCTCAAGTTACTTCTAGAATGATTGTGCATTTTCCTTTCCCTGCTGTGCAGGAACTAGTTCTGGCTTACACAAGGATCACCTGGAGTTTTCACAGATTTCTTGACTTTTCTCTCTGTGCAACTGTCAAGGGTCAGCCCTTAGAATTTGCCTTTCACCAGCTCACTGAAACCTGAAAAACTAGTTCATGCGCCTTGAAACTGTAGGTAGGCCAATTGAATGAAGTTTGGGATTTCAGCCTTCATTGTGACCCTTTTAGCTTTACTCACCAATGTTGATGTTTTTTATTTCTCTTTTCCTTTAGACATTTTTTTTTTGTATATGAGTGTTTTACCTGAATGTTTATCTGTATGCCATGTGGTGCCTGGTGCCTGCAGAGGGGAGTTGAGAGAGTAGGATCCCCTGGAACTGGAGTTACAGACAGTTGTGAACTGCCATGTTGGAGCTGGAACAGACCACAGGTTCTCTGGAAGAGATCCCAGTGCTCTTAATCATGGAGCCATCTCCCCAGCCCATTTGATGCTTAAAAAAAAAACAAAAAACCAGAAGACCCTTGGTATGTGAGTGCGACCGTGGCACCATGTGGTGGTCAGAAGGACAGCTTCAGGTCTCAGTCCTTGCTTCTTACCCTGGTGGACAGTGAACACATCAGGCTGGTTGGTTCCTGAGTGCCTGAGTGCATTCTCCTCCATGTTGAAGTTCGAAGGAGCAGGAGATTACAGGCCTGCCCTGGACTTGACATGAATTGTAGGGGTTTCATCTTATCTGGCCTGGCAAGAGCTTTTCCCCATGAGGCAGCTCTGTGTGCTTTGTTTTGCCCCTTCCCTTCATAGGTACTAGTCCTAAGCATTTCCTCAGGGGTTTGTTCTGTTTTGTCCAGGAACCCCATCAGAAATGCCCCCATGTTTACTCTGGTGGCAAAAGTTACCCTTTCTCTCTTTGTAAAACTTCATATTGGTTAAGCTCCCATCTTTTTGATCATAAAAAGACCTTCCTGCTGAACATGGTGGTTGATGCCTGTAATCCCAGTACTCTAGGGGCCAAGGTCTTGCTCAAGTTTTAGACTAGCTTGGGCTATATACAGAGCAAGACCCTGTCTCAGAAAACAAAACAAAAATGGCCTTGGACTGGAGTCTACCTGAGTAGTGTAGCTCTTGCCTACTGTGCACACAGCCTGAAGTTCCATCTACAACACTTAATAGAGCTTTTTTGAGCTGTGATTCATGTACTGTACAATCCACTTATTTAAACTTAATGACTTTCAGATCTTCAGATTGTGCAACTCTCACCACAGCCGGTTTCATAACATTCTCATAACTGCCTCTGCCCCCCAAATCTATAATATCCCTTAGCTGTCACCATTAATTCTCATTGTCTCCCAAGCCATGGGCAACTGGTCTGGTTTTTTGTGTCTACTGATTTCCCTATTCTGCATTAGTATTTTGTATTAGTAGAGTCATTCGCTGTATGTTTCTTTGTTAACTAGCTCTTTCGCTTAGCATAATACATCCAGGGTTCATCCATTAGTCCCTTTACCATTCATGCATCAGCTCTTCATTCCTTTGTTGTTTTTAATTAACATATTAATTATACATAAGGCTTCATTTCATTATGATGTTTGCATACATATTTTGAACATATTTGCCCCCTAATCCTTTCTTGTCCCCCTCCCTCTGATCTCTTTCCCCTTCCCAGTCTTCCTTCTGTTGTCATATCTCCTCTCCCTCCCTCCCTCCTTCCCTGCCTCCCTCCCTCCCTCTCTCTCTCCCCTCCCCTCTCTCTTCCTTCCTTTTTTCAGTTTTTGGCAACCTTCTGAGTTTAATTAGGGTTGTTATATGAGCATGGGTACCTGCTTTTTTGAGATATGGCTTGTCTGTGAAGTCCTGGCTGGCCTCAAACTTGCTGGCCTTCAGCTTTAACTTCCCAATTCTTCATTCCTTTTTATGGGCATATATATAGATATTCCACATTTTATGCATCCTGTTATTAGTTGATGGGTATTTGGATCGTTTCCACTTTTTAGCTCTTATGAATAACACTATGAATATTTATGTACACGTTCTTTGGGGAGATACGTTACTCCTCTAGGGTTTATTACATCTTCATAAGGAACCAGTGTGTCATCTGGTAACTGTTTAGACTCTTGATCAATTGCCAGACTGTTTACCAAAGTGCCTACAGTATTTTACATCCCCAAAACATATGGAGGTCCTGGTTTCTCTGTATTCTTACCATTTGTTCTTACCTTACCATATCAAATTTAGAATAAAATTGAGAAAATGAAGATATCCTTCTAAAGTGAGGATACAGAAACTAGAATGTCATTAACAAGTCCCTTCTATGTAATGCAGCAGCATGGCCTGAGAAATGTAGCCTGGCATTAGATTGGGAGCTCATAGATGATGCAGTGTAGAAATGTAGCCTGGCATTAGATTGGGAGCTCATAGATGATGCAGTGTAGAAATGTAGCCTGGCATTAGATTGGGAGCTCATAGATGATGCAGTGTAGAAATGTAGCCTGGCATTAGATTGGGAGCTCATAGATGATGCAGTGTAGAAATGTAGCCTGGCATTAGATTGGGAGCTCATAGATGATGCAGTGTAGCTTTATTTTGCTGAAACTGAAGTCCCAAACCTATGTTCAACTTTTTTTTTTTAAACGTTTTGGGGATCAAACCCAGGACCTCATACAAGTTGGTCAAATGTTCTACCACTGAACTAAATCCCCAGCCCTCTGTTTTGTTGTTTTTCTGACTGGACAAACCTTTACATTTAGTGGGGAGTTTATAGTTTGTAGCTTGTATACTTTGAATTTTAACTATATCTTGCTTACGCAAGAGCAGAAAGAAACTATGGCTTTTTTTTCTTATGATATGATGGCTATTCTCATTCTCTTTAATCCTAGGATGAACATGAATTATTAGGGTCTATTAGTAGTTTTATTAACAGCCACATTGATAACAAGGGGCATTTTTTTTTTTTTTTGGTTTTTCGAGACAGGGTTTCTCTGTGGCTTTGGAGGCTGTCCTGGAACTAGCTCTTGTAGACAAGGCTGGTCTCGAACTCACAGAGATCCTCCTGCTTCTGCCTCCCGAATGCTGGGATTAAAGGCGTGCGCCACCAACGCCCGGCTAACAAGGGGCATTTTTGATGGTTCCTGTGTGTCAGTTATAGCATCTAGTGTTTTCCATTTACATAATTCCATTTTAATCTACTGTTCTTTCTTTTTTTTTTTTTTTTGGGTGCTAGGGCTTGAACCTTTGTGCACATTAAGTCACACCACCGTGCCATACCATAGCCCTATTTAATTTGCTTCATAGTTTCACTGTTCTACTGTAGGGATAACTGTGCTGTTATCATTTGTACACCAGAGGTTAAGTTGGGGTGACTCAACTCTCCTGGCCACCTGCCTCAAGCTCTGGTGCCCCCTCCAGCAAAGGTGTGTGGCAGTGACAGAGCTGAAGGAAGAACAAGTTTGGCCGGTGCACACTGTTGAGAGGGCTTGTTCAGTTACCGAGGATTACACAGGAATTTACAGCTCCACAAGGACAGACTGCTATTGTGTGATTTCCAATGGCTATCATTACCGGCCTGGGTCTCTGGCCTTTCCTGTTCTGTAAGCAGATGGGAGGCATTGGGTGAAGAGGCAGTCTGCACTGTAGCCCCAGAGGTACCATCCTGGATTTGCCCATGCCAATGCCAATCAACTTTAACCACCGTGGGTGCAGGGCCTCCACTCAGGGCATGGAGATGTTGGAACAGACCTTGTAGTGCTGTTGTGAGAGTGTCACAGGTTGTGGGTGTGGGCACACTCAGAAGCTAATCGTCACCAGTGGCAGGCCTTGGAGTAGAGCAGTCACACTTCTTACTTCCTTTCCCAAGCTTGGCTTCCAGCCTGTTCTTTACATTCACAAGCACTGATGTTGAGCTTAATTTTTCATGACTTAAGAGCAGCCGAACTCTCCGTACCTTCAGTTGTCTAGATGGCAAGAACTCAGATCCTCTCAGAATATTTTCACTTGCAGAAAGAGTCACTTGTACTCTGATTTTTCCCCCTGTTAGTGCCCCTGTTAGTTCCTGGTTCATTCAAGCTCAGAATAAATTTTGATACCATATATACACATAATTTCTTCACTGTGGTAGCAATTGTAGGGTTTTGTTTTATTTTGCTTTTGTTTCTCTGTAGCTTTGGAGACTGCCCTGGTACTTTGTGGACCATGCTGGCCTCAAACTCTTAGAGATCCTTTTGTCTCTGCCTTCCAAGTGTTGGGATTAAAAGCATATGCCACTACGTCCTGCCTGATAGTAGAATTTTAATGGATGAGACTGCATCCTAAGTGGGTTTTTTTGGGTTCTGTTTGTTTTGTTTTAGTTTTATGAGACAGGGTCTTTCTGTGTAGTCCTTGAACTCAACTATGTAGACCATGTTGGCCTTGAACTCACAGAGACCTGCTTGTCTATGCCTCTTGAGTGTTGGGATTAAAGGAGTGCTCCAGCATGCTTGGCTTCCTGCCCCTTTTCTTTCCCTGCAGTGCTAGGGATGGAACCCAGAGCCTCACACAGGGTAGGCGAGAGCTCTGTCACTTGAGCCACACCCCCAGGTCCTCAGCCCTTTTAATTGCTAGGGTGAACCAGAATGTGCAAAATGGCTGCCCAAGGGACTGAGGGTGACTTTGACATCTGGATGATGAAAAATAATTAGATTTTCTATAATATTGACCCAAAGCATCCAGGCAGAGACAACTACTGCCCTTGTCCTAGGGACAGATGAGCTCAGGGAGGGTATAAAGCCACAGGGGAGGAGGGGCCTGGAGAGGACCTGAGCTGCACAGCTGCTGTGGCTCCAGCCAGCAGAGGGGTTATGAAGCAGATGTTCTGGATATAGGAGGAAGGCCAGAGGAATGGAATCAGGACAGAGTTTTAAGGAGGTTGTTATGAATGCCCTGGAATGGCCCAGTGGGATGAGAAGTGTCTAGTAAGTCCTGCCTTTGGCACATACATTTGAAAAAGTGTTTTCTGGCTGGGGATGTATTCTCAGTTGATAAACTGCCTCACATGCACAAGACTCTGGATGCAACTCCTAAGACTACACAAACCACCCGTGGTGGCACATGCCTATGCTCTTCGAACATAGAAACAGAGGCTTGATGATCAGATCAAGGTCATTGTTTGCTACATAATGAGTTCCAAGCCAGCCTGGGATATACTTTTTTTTTTTGGTATATTCTTGGTGCTGGATGGCTCAGCCATTAAGAACACTGACTACTCTTCCAGAGGACCCAGGTTCAATTCCCAGCACACACATGGCAGGTTACAGTTCTCTGTGGCTCCAGTTCCCAGGGGATCTGATGTCCTCACACAGAAATACATTTAGGCAGAGCACCAATGAACATGAAGTAAAAATAAAAAACTATATTGTCAAATGAGGTAATGGAAATGAACTACAGGTAACTCTTCAGTACATGTGAGAAAATGGACAGATATACAGGTAGTTGCATAGGAAACTGGGTCCAAGGGAAACTTTGTTCATTGTAAACATTTTATCAGAGTACAATATATGTTTAGAAATCTTCAAACTTGTTTTTCAAGTACTTAGGATCAGATCAGACCCAGGACTTCATGTGTGCAGGGTAAAGGCTTTATCACCGCCCTAAGACCCAGCCCTCATCTCCAAACCCCCAGTGTGCATGTG